AAGAGTGCGGTGGCCCTAACTACGTCCTAATATTACTTTAAAGCTAACCCCTAGGACTGTCGCCTTCTGTACCAACCTGTTGGAGCACTTGGTGAACCTAATCGAAATCGATGGTCGAACAAACATGCAGGCTATCTTTTAGAATCTTAAGCTGTGTCTGACTTTTGAGAGGATGACCAGTAACCATATCATCAAGATATTTTACCTACAAACCTTTATTTGGCGATTTTTGTTCGTCAGTGTTGAGGCAGAAGAGGCTGTTGAGATGGTAGACTAAAAGAAGGAAGCTTGGAGGTGGAACATAAAGGTAAATTATGGCAATGCAGAAAAAAGCCGTAAGATTTGTCTCTGCATGTCTTGCGCTCAGCCGGACGCTCGTTCGCTCTAGCACGGTAAACGGGTCAATTGGCGCCTGCTGAGGACCAATCAGCATGCAGCTGACGGGTTAACAGGAGTATAAATCTGCTGGCGCCATTGTGGCCGTTAATCAAGCACACTTCGTCATGACGCGTCAACTCTTCGTGTTGGTTCTGATGGCTAAACTGGTCTTCGCAGATGTTTTTCTACAACCTGTTTTGACGGGTGAAAGTGGTAAGTAGACTTATTTGTATGCCCATTTTACTGCTTTTTTGTGCACCTTTGCTATCGCGGTACAAGTGCTGATCTTGGGATCGCGCTGCATGCGGTTTCCTTTTGATACATAATTTGCATGTTCTTATTTATCTCAGGAGAACAGTATATCGAATTCGAAGACAAGAAATATCCCCTCCAAGACGGTTCCAACTCCACAGTGACCTTTCAGTCAGGCGACTGTATAGTTACCCTGGACCTGAGCCTAAAGACCGACTCCGAATATAAAGACCATCGTCAGGGCAGTCGGTAAGTCGTAATTAATAAGCTCTGTGCTTCTGCATTTCTGTGTTTCTACATGGTCATCGACTAGAAGTATCCTGACATCCTAAAAATAAGAAATATTTTGTCAAAAAATATGCCAAAGCGAATAGATCCACGTGTTAAAGGACGACATGTAGGGTTGAAAATTTTGTGGACTAGTGGCATTGGTCTGCTTTAGTGGGATGCAAGGAGCTACAGCCGCAATAAGTATTCTTTTAATTCGATGCAGTAACGTTGTCGGAGCATCCTCACGTAGAAGGATTGAAGTTTTCACAAAAGGTATGATATGTGGAGGGTGGATATAAAATTCCTGTAGGTAGATACTACTGTATGAAGGCAGCTTCTGTATAGTTTTCCCGCCCGCAGAACAAAAAAGTAGTTGGTGTCATATTCTCTTCGACCGACAGATCTAGAATTCAAGCCATTTTTCACACAGCTAAGCGCAGTCAGCAGTCCAGAGAGACCCATCATTGCGTAACACTTCGGGTTGTCCTAGACTGATGACGACAACCTAGCTAGAAAAAAAGAGCACCTTTGTGCCCCTCAATGTAGCCTTTACTACGCCCTTAGGGAAACGGTTGCGCGTGGTGTTAAGGAGAAAGGGAACCAGAAATAATTTCCAGTTTTTCCTTGAAAGATTTTGTAGTAGAATCTGATTGAGAATGGGTCATTGAGTAGTCAGTGTTAGGAGACTGTATATCGAGATGGTTTGACAGAGAAAAACTAATCCAACGTATTACTTTCTATGAGCTAGGCTTATATGTATGTTGCTGTGGAAACCGTCAGATGAAACTGCTGAACTGTTCTTAAAGCAAGAAAGGATGCTGAGACACCTCTTTGCCTTCTTGACGTTTATCACGGATAGCGCTCTTCTGTGACCCTGTTGTTGGCGTTGTGTCTCGATGCCAACAATTAGTTGTCTTTGGGTCAACCGGATGAAGCAATCATCCTACCCTATGATCTATTGGCCGATAGATGTCGGACGTCCGCATAGCGGACGAATTTGGAGGATTAATTATCGTAAGCATCGATAACTATTTAAAAAACGAATTATGTGACTAAGAAGTTGCAAACACGTATTCTAAGGTTAATGCTAGGTCAAAATGAAGTTAGCTCTACCTGGATAGCATTTCTGCAAGATAAATAACAGGTGGCATGAAATTATCAGTGCATTTGACGACCAGTCATAGGCGTCTCCGGCAGAATATAATGTTTACATTGAAAATGTACGTGGAAGGGATAACGGAAGATATAGAGGCAAGTTGGTAGGTAGAAAAACCTAACGACCTGTCAAAGGACATATAAGTACGACTTCAGGCATTAATTTTACTACGAAAGAAAAGAGTTTTAGGAAGAAGAGGTTAAATAAGTGTTGAAAAACCACGTTTGTAGAGGTTAGATAAAAATTCGCTTCCAACAGGCTTTAAGGCTTCACGAGAAAACACTGAGGCAATGGAATGGGAATTAAATCAAAAGACGTCTGGTATTTCATCGCACCCAAATTGCCGCTTTAGTCCCTGATGACATAAACATACCTGCTTTTATCTTATTTGGAGTGTAATCATTGAAGATATTGCCCCAGGGCAAGTATGTAAGTAATTCAGGACAAATATTGATGAGGCCGGGAATATAAACGCCTAATCTATATGAAAGCGTCCGGTCTACATTTTCAGAGTAAAAGTATTTTCATAGACAAAAACTTAATGGAGTGATGGTATATACATTGCTGAATAAAATATAATTGGTAAAAACAAAAACGTTGTCTTTTCTTATGACATGAAAGAAAGCTCGAGCAGGGACTTCAGACTCAGAGTCAAAAATCAACAATAAATTATTATTCAGTGAATAACTTCCAAAACGCCTCCGAGGTCTTAAAAGTTGGCGTAAAAAGCGCCACAAAAATCTAGCGGAGAAAAGATTACAATATGAATTAATTTTAGCTCCTCGACTACGCGAGAGGGGAATTTTTTAAATGGAGGAAAATTATGACATTTGCCCATTGTACCTTCTGTTTTGAATTTTCCTCTAGAATTTGCAAACACACGATGAACGAAATCACGGACAAAGCGTCGCAGTGCTATGTCAAAAAACAACTGGAAAAAAAGCGAAAGACTGATCGGGTTGTTTAGAATCACATTCTCTCGGTGTTGGTGGTTGCCCAATCGCATTGAATACACTTAAATCCTGCTTCTTATTACTTCTTATTGATCTGTGTTGCTGCGGTGTACCCTGCATCATTTTCAATAAAATCTGATTGTGCAAACATTTGATAGCGGAATTCAACTCAAGACAATGCAGGTTCTTGATTATTCATCACTAAGACTGTGCAGTAA